TCTTCTTCTTCTTCTTCTTCTTCTTCTTCTTCTTCTTCTTCTTCTTCATCAAACCACTGGGTTACTGCCGGTGGCCTTGCTCCTTTCACCTGTGAAACAAAGCAAATAGAAAGAGAGCTCACACATGCCCTTCCTGGATGCTCTGCCCACGTGCAGGCATCTGCAGACCCTATCTAGTTGTCCACCTGTGCTAGGCTACCAGCTTGCTTCTTTGCTTCCTGCCACCTACAGCAACCTCTCAGTTCTTAGCTGTGACTAACCTCTTGCTCTGTGTACTATCCCATGCTCTTTGACTGAGGGGCATTGATTCAGTAACTGTCCCCTCTCCTGCTTACACCAGCAAATTTTCCCACCCTAATGAATCATCCTTCTTTTGTGTGTGCACATGAGCGCAGGCACGTGCGTTCACTGAGTGTGTAAGGAGTTCAGACGACAGCCCTGGCTATCAGTCCCCACCTCACTTCCACCTTGTTTTGAAGCAAGGCCTCTTTGTTGACCTTGAGCTTCCAGGATCATCCCTTCTCTGCCCTTGTAGAAGCACTGGGATTGCAGTTGTATTCTAATGTATAGTTTCTCGGGATTGGAAGTACAGAGAGCAGTTGGCCCACTGAGCCATCTCCCGAAGCCTTCTTTCTACAATTTACAGGCATGCTGTATTATATGCCATGGTAAAAGTAAGACATTTCCTAAATTCCACGTATGTCCTTGCTTTGCTTAACATCTAGAGTCTTGGGGAAGAGGGTGTCCAGTCCTTGTCCTCTTCCCTCTCTTTTCTTCCATCCTCCTGCAGCCACTGGGAGCAGCCTCTCACCCGCCACTCCACTGGAACTGGTGTTCTCAGAAACAGCAATGAAACCTCATCCCAAACCCAGGCTCGCCTCTGAAAAGTCTTTCTGTTCTTTACCTCAGGGTGAAGAATCCTACCATTCAGGTTTTCAGCCTCAAACGTTTAAGTGTAGGTTCTGTAGACATCTTCCCTTCCTGCTCTCCTCTGACTTCCTGGTGATCTTATCAGTCTGATGACTTTCAAGACCTTACCGGTCTGATGGCTGTGCGATACCGACAGCTATCCATTTTACACCTCCAGCCATGCCCCAAACTCCAGACTGTACATCCATATCCTGCTCAACACCTTGCTACCCAAACATCTCACATCTAAACCTAACAAGCTCTAAGGTATCCCCCCAAAGCAGTACCCTACCGTCTTGTCTGCCTCAGCTCACGCTGCCCTCCCAGAGTTCCAGAAAACCAGAGCAAACTTCTTCCAGTCATTCTTAACCTCTCTGTTTTCCCACAGGCCACATCCAAACCACGAATAAATACCACTTCTCCTTCCCTCAGTACCTGTGCAGAATGTAACCCCTCTCCACCCAGGCTAACTCTCCATCTCTGCTTCCAGCCATTTCCCACCTGATTGTCAGAAGAGCGTCTCCCTGGTGATCTTCATACATAGGCCACCTACTCTGCCCTCTGCCACTAACATCTGATTTACGTGTTTGACGTACAGTGTAGAGCTTATGTAAGTCAGATCCTGACACCTTGCTGCTCAGAAACTTCCCAGGGAGTCTCATGAAACTGGAAGATGATAATGATGTCGAAACACAAGTTCCAATTTCAGTCTAGAGAATTGTATTCGATTGTCCTTCAGTACATAAGAGGGACTAGGGCCAGGATCTACCTACCCACCACACTTATTCCCCTTCCATGAATGCTCAGTTCTGTATTAAAAAAAAGGGAGGGGCACAGAATTTGCATATAACCTATGCACAACTTCCAGAATATTTAAATTATTGTCTTCTTCATATTTCTAGCAATACATAACAATGTTACACAGAAATTATTTAAGAACTAGTAACACCCCTCACACACAAAAAAGCCTGTGTGTATTGAAGACACTGATTATTTGTGTGTGTGTGTATGTGTGTACATGTGTTCGTGTGCATGCATGTGTTTGTTTGTGTGTGTGTGTGTGTGTGTGTGTGTGTGTGTGTGTACGTGTGCATGTGTGTAAAATATATCTTTGATCTATGATTGGCTGAATCCGTGGGGATGTGGAACTGACAAGCATAGAAGGTAAACTATTCAACTTGCTTGTCTTTTCTCCTTTGCACTCAGCCACGTGGTATCTGTCCCTGCTGTCCTTAAATACATCAAGCAGGTATTCTCCTGCCTCCGGGCCTCACATCTGTTAAGCCTTCTGCCAGGAAAGATCTTCCCCCAAGTACCTGC